CACTTGCGTCACGACGACGTGGCCGCGGTGGCGGCTGTTTGGATTGATGTGTATTGTGTTTGATTGTGGCTGACGCCCACGACGACCTGCCTAAAACATTAGAAACGATAGTGCTTGGACGTCTGACACAAATATCAATTTTCAACGATTATCGTTCGTGTACAATTTTTTTTTCGTTTTCACCCTCATCACCAACCCTTTCCGCCTCAAATCAAACCTATTATCATTATCCCTCTTTTCACCCGTCCTTTGAATAATCAACCACACGCTCAAAGTGTCCGCCAAGGTATATTAATACGTAATATTTTTCTTGATCTTGAATTTATAGTGGTAAGCCTTTGTGAGCAGAAAAGTATGACGTGGTATAATCGCGTGCGTACGACAATAAATACTTAGTCTGCGCGTGCGAAAAATTAAAAAAAAAAAGTATAAGCCTCCGGGGTCTGTGCTGTCATTTTTAAATAAATTAAGCATGGGACGAAACTTTCGGAATTCTAAAAGATAATAAAAAATATTCGCGTCGTGTATATTATTTCGTGTATTGGCATGTATATTACAACCATGTTTGCCGTCCGTCCGTGCTTTGTCGGTTTCGCCATCTCGTGCGCGTGCCACCCTGTAAACCATGGCCCACGCGACGAGTACGTGTTTCTCTCCACCCCTATGCGGGGGCGGCCACGTGCAAAATTAAATCGCCTACAACCTACGTAATTTCCGACGTTTGTTGACCCGTGTCCGTCGTCGTCACAGTGACACCGTCGTCATCATCGTCCTTCCTCGCCGCTTTCGACGGCAACCTTCCCTTCACAGACCTGACCTTTTGTGTGTAAGTTCTCGACTTCTCCGTATGAATAATTGAATTTCCATATTTTTTCCATAAGATTTCCCATTTTTAAAAAAAAAAAAAAAATTCTGATCACACTTCATTTCGTTTATGTGTTTATTACATTATTATTCAATGTAATGAAATTAAAGCTACTGTTGATTATATAATTTTCACTGTAATAATTATTAAACCTTCCTATGCGAGATGGCATAACATGGTTAAAATAATTTATTTATATGTGAGCATTTTATACTTTTCCTTTCAAATCATATGAAATCAATTATAATTGTTGGAGAAAACAACCAATTAGTATAGAGGGTAACATTATTTTGAAGTCTATTTATAACGTTATATTAATTATTACCATAAAATAAAGGTTTATTTTACATTATGTTCAGAGCAGAAATTAACTTATGTGGTTCTTAAATATTCTATTTAGTAACTCCCCGTAGTTTGCGTACTACTACTGCACATACATGCACGAATGCAATCTCTATATTTAAAAAAACTTATTCGCAATTAAATGTATTTTTTTTTAATCTACTAAGTTAAAAAAAAAAATTGTCAGTAAATAATTGTTTTGTGGTGTCTGCATGACAATGCTTTGTATATAGCACGTCATGCTAAATTTTGACCACGTTTAAAATACGTGTCGGTTTACTGTGAAGAAATAAGTGATATATTTCTTGTTTGGATATGAAATTACTTCGATTAAAATGATTTGTTCGCGCGATATTTTCCTCGGCACTATTAAAAAAAAAATTGAAGGCTATTTTCCCGTTGTGTTTTTAACGACTTGAAATTTGTTATTTCCTTACTTTTACGGAGTTCATGACCATTCGATTTGATCTCGATTGTATCTAAATCGGTGTTAGTAAAATCCGGATTTACCGGATTTCGAAGGGGGGAAAAGTTGATGTTCAATTTTATAACAAACCGGATTGTTCGTGGTATCGTCGTCGTTCGAATTTAAATAATATCTTTTGACCGATTTCCAGGAGTGTATTATAAGTTATAACTGAGATAGTTTTATTCTCGGTTATGTTTGAAAACTTCGCTGCCTATGCCCGTGACACGTTAATAACAAATTGACTTGAATGTAAAAATGTCTTCGGAGCAATTCTACAATTTTTTGCTCCCGGAATACAGTACGGATTATGCAGTATGAATTACCATAGCATATTTGCTATTAGGATCGCCGTTGTTTCCTGTACCTCGTTGCTAAGTTGCATATTATAATTTGTTAAAAATTGCAACATAGACGTAGATGTAACGATAAATACCGTGAGCTACGACGGTGTATCAGTCAGAGATAACTATCGGGTGCAATGCAGTGCGGGTATCCGATATCTCACGACTACTCGAGTGGTATAGTGGATGGTAGGAGCGATGGATTTGTTTTCTGGTGGGTGTTTCTACTGTCGGAGGTCGAGAAACGTTCATAATAATTTTTATTGTAACATGCATTTGCAAGTGTTGGTGAAACGGCCACGTTACACCGGGTTATGGGTGTGCTACTGATAAAACGCATTTGTTAATCTTTTTTTTTTTTTTCTAATCTTTTACAGCCCTTGTGTCTTTTTTTTTCACTCAAAACTACTCGTCCAGAGCTCTTCCCTTACTTCATTATCATCAGATTCAACCCCCCGTGGACGGTCTACCTTGTTCGTCTATCTTGTTTTAATAATATATCCGTAAACATAACACCAAACGTGTACATACCGCTTCGGTTCACCTCTACCCGCCGTCGCCAACAACCACCGCCGCTGCCGATCCTCATTAATTTAACAAGTTTTGCTCGGAGTTCTTGTCTTCATCCTTTAGGCAGATAAACCGTTCTTAATTGTTGTGTTACTACTACGCACGTATCTTTTAAATATGTATTTGAAAATGTACACCCGGTTGGCGTCTGGCTGGCGAGGTGGACACACGGAACCGATGGGAAAGTCTGCTTAATCGAGCAAAGAAAAAAATCCGTTGTAAAATATTACATTTCGCGAGATGCATGCGTACTCTGAAAACAAGTTGAACTTCTATTTTTTTTTTCTGACACTGACCTACACAAGTTTTTGTCTACACTTTTTAATATTGAATGGTACTGTTCTGTTTGAATATTGCACCCACTGGATCTTTGTGTACGTTAATATTTATTTGCTTCATAAGTAATAGCTGATGGTGGTGTTCCAGTGCGCCTCGTGTTTATAATGATGCTTACGCATTTTGTTTTCACGTGCGTACCGGAGCCGTCCGGGAGATAAGATAACTACGAGTTCATTTTAACGTTCAGGCATTGACTGTAAATTTTATTATACTCTAATAAAGCGTAAAAATAATATCTTCGAGCTGAAATAGAAGCAATATTTTCTAGTCTTATTATTCGATCGACATTCATCGATATAAATTTTGTTGACTATAGTACACAGAGCAGCGGTCCTCAAAAAAAAAAAAAAAAAAAAAATAATCGCGCCTCCCATGGATAAATAAAATAAAATTTTTCCATTATTTTAATAAAACAAATTACTGTCGATAAATATATGATAGTGTGATGTACAATATAAATATTTGCCTTGCGTCTCCTTAGGGAGGCACTCACAGTTTGAGAACCACTGGTATTAAGAATATCATTAAAGATTTACACTTCATTGTACATCCACGAGATTATCTCGTGGTGATGAATATATAAATTGTAACAGATTTGATTGATTTGATATTGACTTGTCCATCCTAGTTAAGAGTTTTGACGATCCGGTTTCGGGTTAGCGAAAATTTATTTAAATTATATTAGCATTTGTTTGGTGTGTGTTTGTATAATATCGCCTTATGGTATTTTAATTTGGTTGTTTTTATAAATTACCCCTTCCTCGGCCGAATATCGAGTTTTGAAAATTATTCTTTATATATTATATTTTACAATATATGAATAGTGTTATACTACTATTTGTTATTATTTATTTCCGTTTTGATTTCTACGGCAGACGTAATGTGACAGCTATCCCGCTTATGACCTAAGGTGACTAAGGAATTTTATTGTTGTTTCGAAAAATAATCTTATATAATTTAAAAAACAAAATTTCTTGGTTTCGGCCGTAAGTTATTTGTTATTTTTATCGAACGTTTGAATATCCTAGTTATTTGTTTTAAAAAAATGTTATTACAAGTTTTACTAACGTTTGATTTGTAATACAGTTGAAAATAGTAGTAGGAGCAAAAAGGGGAAGAGGACCCAATAAATTATAATATTTCTCACGTCTTGCGATTAGTTATATTAGTTGGTATTGTGTACATAAATGTACGTGCATCCTCCGTGCTTGTTTAATGTACGACAATCACCCGTCTTATCACAAACATGTTCAAGGTCAAAACGTCGATGTTTTGTTGATTGTTATAAGACGTGCGTTAGCATACACGTTTGTCCGGACAAATGTTCTGCTCTCGGTGAATTGTTTCCACTCGTTTCCTGCGAAAATGCGTAAAGCAAAAGCGCATTTAAAATTGTTTAAAAATTGATCGAGTTAATGTTTCACCGGTGATTTATGATTATTATCATTATTATCGTTATTCGTTTACTCCAAACTGTCCAGTATTTTACTTTACAAGACCGTGTGCGGTGTGGACGACTCGAGTTCTATTGATTATCGGCATCGCAATAATCGTCGAATATGTTGAATGTATATGTATATATTCGATACACCTATGTAATTATATTGTATTGTTCACCCATCGCGTAACATCCTTATCGCCGCGGTCGTTAAAACCCTCGGAAAAACTTACAAAAATAGATCGTGTTGGACGCGCGAGTTTGGTTTCGTGTACATACAGTTTATACGCCGCTGCTCGTTTTCCGTGTAAACCACATATTGTATAAAAGGTGTATTATATCTCGTTCGGTCGAAAAACGATAGACCCGGTTTTGGTAGTGGTAGTGGTCGTCTTGGATTATATTATGTTCGAAAAAAAAAAATTATTTATAATCTCTCCTCATACACATTACTATTGTGAACGTCGTCGTTGTGTTCTGTGCTCTGTTGCACGGTGTCGCGTCGCGGTACTTTTAATAACGTAATACTACGTACACTGCGATAGTCGGCCGATAATTTTCTAAAATTATTGTATTTTTCAACCACTTCTGTTTGTTTGAACGTACCGTTATTTTTTTTTCGGATTTTCTCCACAGATATTCGAACTCGTGTAAGGACCGACCACCATCTCCATTAGCAGACGATCGGTGTTGCTGTTGTTACCATCGTCGTTGACTTCGGTGGAGAACACACGATCTCCGTCGTCGTCGATAAGACCAACAGAATTCCAAGAAGTAGCGAACGACGCCGTTCAGCGGACTCGAACGCCGCTGCCGCCACCATGGGACGCAAGAAAATACAAATATCACGGATCACGGACGAACGAAATCGCCAGGTAGTATTGGTACAGTTATTATTACCTGTAACAAAAATTTGTGCTTGTGTTCTGTTGGGCACCTCTGGATAACGGATAAATGGTGGTGTATTTCACATGCTCGGTTTAGATTTAAAATGGTTGAAGCATTGAATTAAGTAAGGGTGGACTTATGAAAGTACTCTCATTTTACCAAAATAATTTCTACGTTTGCTCCGGTTAGAAATGTATGGAAAACAATTGGTTTGGATTAATGTTAGATTTATTTTCAAGCTCCGCTTAGTTTCAAATCTAGCTTTTGAGCATTGTTTTTATGCTTCCAACGAGTGCAATTGTTGAAAATGGAAGTAATTATTGAATTTTAATATTATTTTTGATTATACTTGATTATAACGGAGGAACTTCTATTTTCGTTTGTTGTCGAGTATATAAGTATTTAATTCATAATTTTAAATGAAATCTCATTGTTTTCTGAGTACTTAAACTGTATCATGAACCTGATGTGTAAAAACTTCCGACGCGAATAATTATTACATTGCTCGATTTATTTTGATATTAATTATCTTTTTATTTTTTGACAACAAATACAATAAAATAAGGAAAAATTTTACCATTCAATTTTTTTTTTTTTTTTTTGAATCAGTTTTGTATTTTGAAATTTTTTTGAAAGCTTAAAAAATATAATGATTTATTTTCCAGTGGATTTAATAATAGTTCTTAAATATATTTCCTTTCTTTGGATGTCTCTTCATACATGAATTAACATGCTATATATATATATATATGTATTTATATTTATGTATTGACGTTTTAACTAATCTCAAATAGTTTTACTGAATATTAATATAGAATGAATGTGGAAATTGCATCAAAATTAAATACATTTTTTTCTCGTTTGACATAATCTTATATTCTATAAAACTTAAAATTATTATATACTTGAGTTTTACAAGGCAATGTTACAATATTTTCTTAATTTGTAATAACCAGTGATAGGTATATCATGAATAAATGTATCATTCCGAGAATTCTGGTTATTTTATACATTTCCATTTATATCATATAAGACTGGTTCCCAAACTATGAGACGCAACGCAAATATTTATATTGTATATTACACTATCATACATTTATTTTTTAGATCAATAATAATTTGTTTTTATTAAAAAATGTTGTTTTATTTATTCATGGGAGGCGCGATTAAATGTTTTTGTTTTGGGGATGTATGAACCAAAGTAGTTTGGGAATCACTGATATAAGACAAGCATATATAAAGTTGTATTATTGTCCCTCTTAATGTAGACACTATTTTTCTATTTGAAAATATATAAAAAATAAAATTTGAAAAAAAAATAATATAGTAGAGATATCTATCTATTAATTGTTCTTGAACTCTTCAATTACATTATTTGAAGAAATTAAATACAATCTGAAATATAATACACATCGTAAAAGTGTTTTACTATTATATATAATTATAAATTTACCGAGTGTTATTATTAATATTTTTAATTTCTTTGGAATATTATCTTGAAGACATGCTAAACTTAAAAATAAAACTTGATAAGGAAATAGATGTATATTTAAAGTTGATCTGGTAGTTAAATTTTAAGCCTTTTACTGTCATATCACAAAAATATCTTTAATATTGACATTTTTATTGAAATTTTTCTGTATAATTGTATTTTGAAAGATAGAGCTCCATTAAGTAAATAGAAAATAGTATTAAAGTAGATTTTTCTACCCTAAAATCAATCAAATTTGATTTATCTGTAGAAAGAATTCATTTTAACATAGTTAAATTTTTAAATACTTCTCATTCATTTCTGAATTAATAAATAATTAACTTTTTTTTTTTTTTTTACTTAGGTGACTTTTAATAAAAGAAAATTTGGAGTTATGAAAAAAGCATATGAACTGAGTGTGTTATGCGATTGCGAAATCGCCCTCATTATATTCAGCAGCTCTAATAAATTGTATCAATATGCTAGTACAGACATGGATAAAGTATTGCTCAAATACACAGAGTACAATGAACCACATGAATCGCTCACAAACAAGAATATCATTGAAGTAATAACACTATTATTATAATATAAATAAATTACCATCAGCTTATATTTTATTTACATATATTATCTATAGCAATTAAACAAGAAAGAATTAAAAGGTGGAACTTTAAGTCCAGAAAGCCCTGATGAAAGTTGTGATGGTACTCAAGGACCATATCAACTTACACCTCGAACTGAAGCAAAATACAGTAAAATTGATGAAGAATTCCAACTATTAATGCAACATCAACGAATGGCCAGGGTAATGATCTTGTTTTTTTTTTTTTTTTTAAACTCATTTATATTTAAATACTCAATATATAAATTTTGACATATTTATTCTTACTTTTAGAATAATGTTGGTGCTAATTATTCGCTTCCTACCACTATGCCTGTGAACAACATGTATAATGAATCTGGGAATTTACAACTGCAACATAATTCTAGCCCTAGACCTCCATCTTCTTCTGATGCTGATTCTGGTGAGTTATTTATATAAGCCAATTGAAACAATTATTCATTGTTCTTATGTTTCTAGTTTACCCTCCTAGTAGTATGTTGGAAATGAGTAATGGATATCAAGAATCTTCGCCTGCACTAGTCAATTCACCTTCTTCTCCAGGACAACTAGTCATGTCACCATCACCTACACCCAAAGCCCTAAATGCTTCTAATAGAGCTACTCCGCCGCCTAGACATCATTCGCCTAGACCCAATTTACGTATAGTCATGCCTAATGCTCCTAGTCACCATGAGGACAATAATGTATGACAACATTTTTTTTAGTATTTAAAATGCAATAAAATAAACAATATTTTATTTTACAGGCAAACTCTATTAATGCGCCAACAGTCTCTTTAAATACACCCGTAGTAGCACTTCATACACCTGGTCTAGGTGGCTCTTCTTATCATGGTATTTTTACTGATCTTACGTCAACTGACATGGGGCTTACATCAGCATTGAATTGGTCTAATCAAATAGCACACAACAAGTTTGTTATTATTTTTAATAATTTTATATGATTATGATTTAATTGAAATATGATTTATCTTTTTATTTTTTAGTGGAATGTCTCACTTAGGAGTACCAAATTCACCGCCACCTTCTTCTCCATCACCAAATCCTGTCCGTATTAAAAGTGAACCGAACTCTCCTCCGCATTTACATCACCATACGTCTTCAACACCCTCAGGCACTGTGTCTAATACGGTTGTTTCTCATTCGATCAGTCATTTATCTTTACCGCATACTCATACTTCAATATCATCTCATCACTTATCAGCTACAGGTAAATTGTTAATGGACTATGCCTAGAACTTTTACTCATAAATAAATTCTGTATTCATACATAATTCTTATTGTTTAAAACTAGAACGTTTTATACTAGGCGGACAGTTACCTAGTAGCCAAAGCTTGGTAGATTCAAGGCATGATTTTGAAGGTGGACCACCCCCTAAAAGACTACGTGATACTTGGCCAGCATGACTAAATTGTTAAGAACAGCTAACATCACACTGCTACCTTCTCCAACGGTTAATTTTTTTTAAACATAAAATATTATTTATTTATTTCTTGGACTTTAAAGCATGACTATTAAGCACAGAAAAACTTATATTAAGTAACTATTTTTTTTATTATTTTTATTATTATTATTATTATTATTTCTTTTTTCTTTTTTTTTTTTTTTTTTGTTCCATAGTTTATTTTTCCAGTTATAACTCAATAACTTATCTTTGTTCTTAACGTTGTAAATAAATTTATATTTATTGATTACCTTTATTTCATCAGTTATTATGTATCTTAATATGCTATTCTATAAACATGATACTAAAAGTTAATGTCTAGTCCTGTTATAATATAATATAGGCTATAATTACTAGTCAATAAAACAATAAGATGAAAATTGATTATATCTGCAAAATTCAATTATAGAATAAGTAAATATATTGTTGTTAAATTACACTAACACATATTTAAATTAGATGTTTTTCTTTTTGTTGAATAACATGAGACTAAATTTTAATTAATTTTACACAGATTGTGTACATTGTTGTGTGATCATTTAGGAGAGTTAAATTAAACTAAACTATTTATGTACATGTGTATGTATATATACATATATTATAATAAGACTTAAGTATGTACATTTAGATATCTAAAAATATTAGGTTTTTGTTTTGTATAAGATTTTGATACCTAATAATTGTGTATGATAATAATATGTTATAGTTATATTTTTAAGTGCATTTTTCATGGCCATTATTTTCAATCAAAATTGTAAATGAATGTATACCATTTAAAAAGTTAGTTGATATTTTTGTATAAATAAAATATGAATTGTAATAAGAAATTATTATTTTTAGTATGTAAGCGGTGCTATGTGTAAACTTTTTGGTGCCATTTAAATATTTTAGTCAGCACTGTGTTTTTACCTGATCTTAGTTTAATTATTTTGTTACAAATTTATAGTAGTTTGAACATATTAGTAGGCTCAATTTTCTATGTGTATAAAATGTAACAATGATGACCACAGGGCAGACATATTTTCTTTGAAATTATATTTGAGAGCTTACATATTTTATATTTTTTGACCATTGTAACATAATACAGGGTTCGTTTATTGAAAAGTTAACAAACAAAATGAATATAAAAAGGGTTTAATTAAATATTGTTTAATTCTTTCTAATTATTTTTCAACACTCATTATTTTTTTCTCGTTATTCTTAACTTAACACTTGTTGTATATTTATATGTACTGATTTGATTGTAAATTTTAACATATTAAAGCATGTTTGTTAAGGTTACATATATTTCAATAAAATATATATTATAAATTACTCATTTTGTTGTATAAAACTTTCATTTTTTAAATATAAATCAAACAGCACTATATTTTTTTTTTTAGTTTGACCAATATTTGTGTATCTGAACATTTTATTATCATTTGTTTGTTTTTTTTTCTAACATTTTAACATAATATATTTTTTTCATGGCAAGGCCGTAAGTGCAATAAAATAATTTATACTGTACACATTTTTAAGTTCAAATCACATTTACAAGCAGTTTTTATTATTTTAGTTTATTTTTTATTTTTTTTTTGTTTTCTTTCGTTTATCATTTGTATATTGATTGCCAAAAAAAAAAAAAAAATTAAAAATATATAGGTTATAATATATTTAGATGAATTATTCTTTGTTTTAATTTTTCCATGTTATTTTCTACTTTGGTTGAAAATTGACCCTCATGTCATGATGTACTTTTTAATCTCATTAAGTTAAAAGCTCAAAGAGAACAACATAGGCGGGTCGGTCACCACACCCAAATTGAAAACCATCCCCTCTTCTTTCCTCGTCCTTAGGTACATAATTCGTTCATGCTTACTTTCCCAAATCGAAGTTTAGTTGTAAACTTTTAACATTCGAAAAAACTAGTTTGTTTTTACATCGCAAGCAGAAGTAATACAGCTTATAACAACAATCAAGCCTCTGCAAGCACATCAGTGCTGACGATGGGCAACAAAGTAGTTACTTTCACCGAATCACAGCTTGAAGATTATCAGGTAAAAAAACTAACTTACACATTTCAAAACTAAGCCATGGTGTATTCTCTGGTATGTGATCGGATTGCGTCAATGACTGAAAAATATATCATTATTTGGGCTCCCTTGTAAAATATTCTGACTCCGTTTCTGTGTATATCTGTATACGTATTAATGAGATACTTATTTTTAATATCCTACCCGTTATAATTTCTCTTGGGCGATAATTTTGTTAAACGTGTTTTGTTCTAATAATATAACTAGCTGTCCAAATATAAACAATTATAGCTAAATATTTTATACATTTTTAAATATTTGTTTTATTTATCAACTTTGTACTTTTTAAGTATATATTTAACTTAAATTATGAGAGTATTACATATGAAATGGTGCTTCTGCAGGACGCAAAAGTCAAATATTTTATAATTTCCATTGTGTTTTAACAGAACAGGGATATCATTCGGAGAGAGGGCAGACTATGGGAATGCCCCACTCTAATACATTAGATGTCTGCAATTCTTTGTTCGAAGATCGCTAAAATCGATAAATTTGTATTTCGTATTAAAAAATCGGATGAAATCCTCTTTTAAATACATTTACAGTGTATTAAAATGTTGGGAAACACTGGCTCCTGAACTGATGACAATCGTTATTACGCAAAACACTATAGAATACTTGGAGAAATTATAAAAATAGATATACATGGCTTTACAACACATTTTTAGTATATATATAAATAAAAGCTTAGCCTGGAGTATTATTATATTTGTAAAATAACAACCGGTTTCGAATAAAAAATTAATCGTCAGGTAGACAAACTCAATAAAATCGCGACTCTCGAATAATTTTTAAATTGCTAATGCTGATAACATTGAAGGCATTTTTAAACATTATGGAATTGGTAATTTTGTTTCAGTTGCTCTACCCTTTTAAAAGTTGAAATAACGCCCCTAGAACATAAAGTCCCCTTATTTTATACACAGCTATTGGGTCTGTATCAAAACGGAGAAATAATAAAACGTTAATAAACAACATTTTTGATTGATAAATATTTAAAGATATAATATTAGTTACTAATAATTACTACTAGTTGATCCATGGCAACGTAATTGTGTTGAACTAAAGGTCTACCGACGGTTGAAAAATTGATCTATACTATATCCAAAATTTTTTTTTTTTTTGGTGGTGGTTAGAAGAAATGTAACATTAAATTTTTTTTGAATTTTGTTTGTTTTTATTATAATCAGTAGACAATAATCATACATTGAAAAAATTCGGGGGGGAGGTAACTGCCTTACCCCACCTGTATACGCCACTGACTTTATCATTGTGTCGTATCAATTATTTCATCATGGATTATGTTCATAGTTTTCACCTGTTTTGTATTTCCGTGGAGGACGGTTATTGGCTATTTGACATTTTTTTTTTACAGTTATATATGTATCTTAGGTATCTAGTTTGAAATTTATGTTATTTCAGTTGTTATCCTTAAGGTTTGTGTTAATCAGACATTAGAGTCTATTCTTTAGGGGTTTAGGAGGGCTTAGGAGCATAGGCGTGCGCAGAGTTTCAAGTCGAGGCAGTGAATATTTTTACCGGCTCATACACGAATATTAAGTTAATATTCTTAAGCCTATTTAAAATTTAAACACAGAAAAGATTAGCTTGGTAACAATACACTTTTTGGACAACCGACTTGTTTTTTATTAAGCATAACTAGCTTGGACCAGTTCAGCTCTTATAAATATATTCAAACCGTCCAGGGGCAGCAAGAGCACACCTTGCTGCCCTCGTGCGCATGTTTGTTTAGGAGCAATTTATCCCTCTGAATGCTGTATTTTAATGAATTGAGATCTACGCGAAACACGAAGTACGGTAATTTTTATTTTTTATATATTGTCTCATATGTTATGCGCCGTATAAGCAATGTGTGTAGACCCGGCTCAAGGGGTAGGTGACATAGGCCCACTCCTAGGGTGGCATTTAACATTTTTATATTATAGATAATTTTTAAAAAAAATATTACAATTTCTAATATCTACTCATATCAAGTTATGTGCAGTAAAAAATAACTATAAATTGTTTTGTTTTATTTAAATTAGTAGTGGTTTACTTGTCTACAAATTTATCGACCTAATCAATTGTTAACTTTACATATATAAATATAATGTACTCAGAATCAAGTCTATTTTAATAATGCTTAAGAAAAAAAAAAATTTGTTGTAGTAATTACATGTAAAGTGCGACAAAACTTAAGTTTCCCTAGGTGTGATTAAACATTTGAGCCGGGCCTGAATATATGTAAGGAGCGACTCCAATGGATCGTCTTTCAATTTGCAGCGCGGACGCTTTACCGTTCAGCTGAAGACTCGGCTTCCCGGTAGGTAAACATCCAAAGGAAACCGTGAGAAAAAACCCGCGTAGATACAACCCGTTCGAGTTAAAATTTAAATTTTTTGAATGAAAACATCTTAACATCTATCGAGCGTTACCTTTTTTGCGTGACTCTCGACAACTATTAAATTATTAAAACGAATGGCGATTTTTATGACAGCTGTATCTAAAGTTCTACTGGACAGATTTGTATAGTTTATTTTATTAAACGTGTGCAGATGAGCTATCTAAGGAGAAAGGTTCAAATATTTAATTAATTAGTTATTGGAAATATTACATTTTCCGTGTACACGACATCGGTTTGGTATGAAGACTGCGGCGCGGCAGCACTAAATGGTAACACGGATGAGAAAGTTTGGGCGGCCACACATAAAGCTGGGTCCACACGATGATAGTAAAACGCGATAGTTGCTATCATGGAAGCTACTATCATGTGAGTGTCATCGTGTGAACTGGTCGATAGTGACTATCGGACTATGGAGAAAGTTACTCTCACACTATCATCCATGCATGATAGTTGAGAGTTACTATCATCGTGTGGATCCAGCTTAACCATCTGGCCGCTTTCGTACCCCGAATCCCAGATAGATAATAGCCCATTGCATACTCGACTAGACAAAGATAGAACGGTGGCATAGATCATAGACCTATAGGTCTATGGCATAGATTGCATTCTCTCTTTAACGATACCGATAATGATGATGATATTTTGTTTTATTTATAACTCTTTGAATGCAACACATTTCTACTTGTGAATATAAACAACCTACATACATACACATACCGTAATACAAATACTGTATATCAGTGCCGGATTAAACATTTGTGGGCCCTTAGGCAATTAAAATGTTGGGCCCTACAAAATAATTTTTTACATACATTTTTAACATTACTATTCAATAATTAAAAAAAAAAAAAAAATTAACTATTAATGTTAGCCAACTATTATTTATAAACAAAATCTTGTATATATTGAATTTTTTTATTTGCAAGAAAAATCAATAAATAATTATATTATTTCTATTTTTTTTTTCAAAATAATTGTATTATTATTACTGCCTATAACACCTACTATTTAATATATATGTATATATATATATATATATATATACTTATATATATTATATTTCGTAATGACTTTTGTTCAGTAAATTCGTAAATAAAATACATGTATTATTAAATAAAAAAAAATATAGTTTTCCGTTTTCACAGGGCCCCTTAAATGAGTGAGACCCTAAGACGGGCGCCTACTCCGCCTAATGGGTAATCCGGCACTGCTGTATATAATATAATGGAGTATGTTTTATACTTTGGGGACAGAGAAACGATCAATCGGGCCAAAGGTGCAGCGGAAAAATAAGAAAAGATTAAACCGTGATTAGTGCTTTTACTTAGGCATTCGCACATATACAGTGACGATAAACACGTACTTTAGGTAAATGTAATTGAACTGACTACAAAATTGGAATGTTAATAAAAAATAAAAATGATCATTAAACAATTTTAATTAATTTATTATGTATTACTTGACAAGTATTTTTTATTTAAAATAGTATATTTAATAATTAAATATTATTTAACATTTTTAATTATTAAAGATGTTTAAAAATAATAATTTATTTTATACCAAATATTTTAGAATAAATTTAATTTAATTTGAGCAATGTTAGTAAAATACGAGTCCCTTACTTGTAGACTTATATTATGAGGCCCCCATCTACATCTAACATTTCGGGAGGTGCTCAGACATCCTCCGTGTGCACTCCTAAGTGTATAATATGTACCAACAGAGTGTTTCAATTAAAATATTTAACATTGTGTTCTAAACAATTTATTTGAAACATCATCACAATCTTTAAAACATGTTTTTTATTTTAGTATTTTTAACTCAATTTTAAGAGTTAATGTAAAAAGTATGGGATATGTATTATACGCCTAGGAACTTAAGAATTATAACATAGTAAGTACTAAAAAAATAATATTAAATTGTTTTAAAAATTTAATGTTACGAGCTGTGGTGAAGCTAGGGGAGGAAGACGGGGATACATCCCCTGGTGTAATTTTTGTAGTATATAATCTATTTTTGACTACTAGTTTGATATTTTAAATTTTTTTAATGATAATGAAATTAGAACTCAATTAGTATGACTGTTTGTTAATTATAAAAAAAAATTTTGGGAAGAGTCTTTGATTGTTATTGTTAATCTATGATAATAGGTAATTTTAAAATTTTCCCTGGGCGTAAAAATTCCTAGTTCCGCCTCTGGTTATGAATTATCACTAAGTAATTATACACACAACACATGAAATGAGAGTAACTGCTTGTAATTATAAAATAAACTCAATAACTGATAAAGTGAAAGATGAAGAGTCTTCATCTATCATTTTATTGAAATCTTCATTGAAGACGATAGCTTATAACCGTGGAACCGTAACGCCACGTAGGTATACTGCAAGGTGTATTGATACACTTTAGTACAGCGGTTCTTAAACTTTTTTTTTCGCGTACCACTTGAATATATTATCAGTAATGTACCACTAATAATAGAACCATATAAACTTTACATAATAAAATACATTTATTTTAAACATAAAGGCATTAAAATACTACAATAAAATTGCTATTT